ACCGTTACCCTTCGTGGGTTGAAGTTTCCATCAACGTGGATGTACGATAGCACCACCTATCCGAACCACGCCAAAAATCTCCGTGTCTCCAATTGCGTTTGCACACTCCAATCCCATCCCTTTATTTTCTTGCAATTTGCATGCTTTACTTTCCGCTGCTCATATACTCTTGCCATGCTTGCTTGAAATGTATTGTGAATGTTTAAACTTGTGCTAAAACTCCACCTTAACTTCAAGAACTTAAAAACTGCTACTTTTCTTTGTTGAGGGTCTAATCACCCCCCTCTATACACCTCTTCTCGATCCTTTCACATACAATCAAAAAGTGCATGGAAACCTTTTCTTCCCTCTGTGAAGGGCCTATCTTTTACTTTTATGCAAGAGTCAAAGTACCTCTCTATTTCTTTTTATTTTTCTCTTTTGGCAAGCACCATGTGGTGAGGAAAGACCTAGGCACATATATCTAATTGGATATGGTGGGCATGAGTTTTTATTGTTGACATCACCCTTGATGTGAATACGTTGGGAGGCGAAACTATAGGCCCCTATCTTTCTATGTGTCCAGTTTAAACTTTTTGCTCATGTTGTGTATGCGGTGAGTGTTAGCAATCATAGAAGACTATATGATGGTTGAGTATGTGGACTTCCCAAAAGGCTCCGATACGTGACCCTTCCTGAAAAGATGATGAATTGTAGTTGCAAAGTTGACTGAGAACATAGTTTGTTGGTTTTCAATAGAGTTTGTGCTTTATACTTCGATGTTGTGATGAATTGTTACTTATCCATGAGAATTTTATGACAAAAATTTTATAATAAAGTTTGTTATTGTTATAATAATATACATGATGCCTCTATGTTCGTATTTTGTTTTATCGGCACCTCTCTCTCTAAGCATGTGGACATGTTTTTCGCTTGAGGACAAGCGAGGTCTAAGCTTGGGGGAGTTGATACGTCCATTTTGCATCATGTTTTCCTACTGTTATTTATGATGTTTTATGCATAATAATGCTCTACGGAGTAATTCTAATGCCTTTTCTCTCATAATATACAAGGTTCACACAAAGAGGAAGAATATCGGCAGCTGGAATTCTGGACCTGAAAAAGCTACGTCAGGCCACCAATTCTGCACAACTCCAAATGAGCTGAAACTCCATGGAGAATTTTATGGAATATTTAAGAATTATTGGAGCAAATAACTACCAGAGGGGGGCCACCGGGTGGGCACAACCCACCTGGGTGCGCCAGGGCCCCCAGGCGCGCCCTGGTGGGTTGTGCCCTCCTCGGCCCACCTCCGGTGCCCCTCTTCTGGTATATAAGTCATTTTGACCTAGAAAAAATAAGAGGAGGACTTTCGGGACGAAGCGCCACCGTCTCGAGGCAGAACTTGGGCAGGAGCACTTTTGCCCTCCGGCAGAGCGATTCCGCCGGGGGAACTTCCCTCCCGAAGGGGGAAATCATCGTCATCATCATCACCAACAACTCTCCCATCTTGGGGAGGGCAATCTCCATCAACATCTTCAACAGCACCATCTCCTCTCAAACCCTAGTTCATCTCTTGTGTTCAATCTTTGTACCGGAACCTTAGATTGGTGCTTGTGGGTGACTAATAGTGTTGATTATATCTTTTAGTTGATTACTATATGGTTTATTTGGTGAAAGATTATATGTTCAGATCCATTATGCTATTTAATACCCCTCTGATCTTGAGCATGATTATCATTTGTGAGTTTTTACTTTTGTTCTTGAGGTCACGGGAGAAATCTTGTTGCGAGTAATCATGTGAATTTGATATGTGTTCGATATTTTGATGGTATGTATGTTGTGATTCTCTTAGTGGTGTCATGTGAGCGTTGACTACATGGCACTTCACCATATTAGGGTTTAAGGGAATGCATTGTGGAGTAGTTATTAGATGATGGGTTGCGAGAGTGACAAAAGCTTAAACCCTAGTTTATGCGCTACTTCGTAAGGGACTGATTTGGATCCAAAAGTTTAATGTTATGGTTAGATTTTATCTTAATACTTTTCTCTTAGTTGTGGATGCTTGCGAGGGGGTTAATCATAAGTAGGAGGTTTGTTCAAGTAAAAACAACACCTAAGCACCGCTCCACCCACATATCAAATTATCAAAGTAGCGAACATGAATCAAACCAACATGATGAAAGTGACTAGATAAAATTTCCGTGTATCCTCAAAAACGCTTTGCTTATCATAAGAGACTGTTTTATCCTGTCCTTTGCCACAAAAGGATTGCGCTACCTTGCTGCATATTATTTGTCGTTACCGTTACTTTCTCGTTACAAAATATCTTACTATCAAACTAATCGTTATTTATAATTTCAGTGGTTATAGAGAATACTTTGCTGAAAATCACTTGTCATTTCCTTCTGCTCCTTGTTGGGTTCGACACTCTTACTTATCGAAAGGACTACGATTGTTTCCCTATACTCGTGGGTCATCAATAGCACACAAGGTATTCCTCCGGTATCCGGGAGTTGCATGATCTCATAGTCGAAGGAATACGTATTTGACATTAAGAAAGCAATAGCAATAAACTGAACGATCAAATGCTAAGCTAATGGATGGGTCTTGTCCATCACATCATTCTCCTAATGATGTGATCTCGTTATCAAGTGACAACACATGTCCATGGTTAGGAAACCTTAACCATCTTTGATCAACGGGTTAGTCTAGTAGAGGCTTACTAGGGACATGGTATTTTTTATGTATTCGCACATGTATTTAAGTTTCCGATCAATACAATTCTAGCATGAATAATAAACCTTTATCTTGAATAAGGAAATATAATAATAACAACTTTATTATTGTCTCTACGGCATATTTCCATCATGTACCCCTTAGTTAAACATGGTGCTTTATACTATATATAATTATCCAACGATGTATATCCATCCTATAATGTTTGAGTAGATTCTTGAGAAGACTTTCCTGATTTATCCTTCTCCTTGGTTATCAAGCCTCCAATAGGAGAAGAATTCCAAGGGATTAACCAAGACCTCCATAACCATAGAATTGGGAAAATATCTACCTCTCAAGACCCCTCTTCTCTTAAAGATTAGGGGAAATCTTAACTTGCTTCTTTTCCCTTTGTTGTTTGTGAATTTTGATGTACTCCCTTCGTCCTGAATTACTTGTCATAGAAATAGATTAAAAGAATGTATCTAGAATTAAAATACGTCTAGATACATCCATTTCTGCGACGAGTAATTCCAGACGGAGGGAGTTTCTCTTTACTTTGGATGAATTGAGAGCACATGTTTGATGTGAACCTTGTTCATTAGTGTTACCTGTCTTGTGTTTTGTTTTGTTCTTTGTAATTTCTCCTTTGCCACCTCCAAATTGTGAAGATTGGGACAACCCAATGGCATTGCCGTGCATCAGATAGCATGGAGGAAGCACTATAAACAAACACTTGTAGTTCAACACTCTACATCAACCATAATCCTCCCAAAGAACCTCTCGAAGAACTACAATATTGGGTACCAAGCATGGCTGATCGATGCACCACCAAGTTAGCCTCTACTAGGCAATTCTCAAATCTCATCACGAAAAGAACACAATCTTGATGTGATGCAACAGCCTCATCCGGTGACCGGATATTACCTCCGGTTTGCGTAGTGTTGATTGGCATCGGGAAGTTCGAACTGATCACCAGTTGCATCCCAAATTGCTTGCTATCGTCGTCATAGTCTTGGTAAACTTGCTTCCTTTTGATTGACCAAATTCAGAGACTGTGTGTCAGCAAATTTGCATGACATGGACCATGACTCTTGGATACATTTCTTCAAGCATAAGAACTCTTGGTCTTGGAGTTGAAACTAGGACAGAAAGCAACATGGGCCTATGCAGCAAACACAGGATGACATACTTATTATTTTTACTACGGGAAAGCGCATCGGCAGCCCAGTACGTTGGCCGAACCAATAGCATGCCCACTTATAGATACCTCAAGGGACGAAAAAGGCCCTAAACATGCACAGGCACCTTTCCCTTCTCCTCGTTGCTGTCGAGTTTGATGCCCTTGTACCACATCGCGCAGGCCACGTACACGGCGAGGTCGACGAGCGAGAGCGCCGCGAGGAGGAAGTAGAACCTGTCGAGGTGGCCGGAGTTGAGGTTACCCGGGATCCACCCAGGCCTCCTGTCGCCGGCGGTGAGGCTGGTCACCACGCTGACCAGCATGATGCTCACGTAGTTCCCGAGCGAGATGGACGCCATGCACAGCGAGCTGCCGAAGCTCTTGACGCCGTCGGGCGCCTGCCCGTTGAAGAACTCCAGCTGCCCGACGTACATGAACACCTCCGAAGCCCCGATCAGCGCGTACTGCGGCACCTGCCACAGCACGCTCAGGGAGCTCGGCTGGTCCGGCGCAGCCACCCGCTTCAGCCGCTCCACCTCCACCACGCCCGCCACCACCATCGCCCCCATGCCGATCACGAGCCCGACGCCCATGCGCTGCAGCTCCGTCAGACCCTGCGGGTTCCCGGACAGCCTCGCCATGACCGGCACCAGCACGCGCCGGTAGATGGCGATGAACGCCAGCACGCTGAGGATGTCGAACACCGACATGCTCGCGGCCGGCACGTGGAACGACCCAATGTTGGTGTTCATGGTGGTCCCTTGCTCCACGAACAGCGACGCCATCTGCGTGAACACCACGGAGTAGACGATGGTGCACATCCAGATGGGCAGCATCTTGAGGATGCACTTCACCTCCTCCACCTGCGTCACGGTGCAGAGCCGCCACGGGTCCTTCATCCTCTCCGGCTCGCAGTAGTCCTCCTCGGTGACCGTCGCGGCCTTGTCAAGGTACCTGAGCTGGTCACTGTGCATGATCTTCCGGATGCCGGACTCCTTGTAAGACTCGTCGCCGTCCAGCTCGTGGAGCAGCTCGCCGCGGGTGGGCGCGTGGTCTCGCCACTTGCGGCACGCGGCGACGAGCACCTGCGCGATGCGGGTGAGCGGGTTGCCGGTGGGCTTGAAGTAGCGGTAGTTGGGGGTGCCGAGGAGGAAGAGCACGAGCGCCAGCGCCGCCGCACCCGCCGAGACCCAGAAGCCCATGACCCACTGCCCGGCGTCCTCGTAGTACACCAGGATCGTGTTGGAGAAGATGGAGCCCACGTTGAGCGCCAGGTAGAAGTAGCTGAAGAAGGCCACCTTGGAGCGCGCCTCGTCGGGGTCCGTCTCGTCGAACTGGTCCGAGCCCAGCGTGGCGATGGACGGCTGGTACCCGCCGTTGCCGAACGCGATCATGTACGTCGACAGGTAGAAGAGCGCGATCCCCGCCGTCGACGGCGGGTCGCAGTGCGTCTCCACGTCGCCGCACCCGGTGGGCTTCACCAGCAGGAACCACGACGCCAGTGACAGTATCACAAGTCCCTGGCCATCACAAGTTCAGATCAGAACAACACACGCAACCAATCCAAACAAAAATGATCTTGTGCTACGATCCATCCGAGCTGCATACCGTGACATAGATCATCTGGAAGATGGCGCAGGTGATGTAGCGGCCCCAGTAGGAGTCGCTCATGAAGGCGCCGATGAGGGAGAAGATGTAGACGGTGCCGGTCCATTTGCTGATGCTGTTGGCCGCCTCGGCGTTGTCCTGGTGGAGCACCCGCCGGAGGAACACCACCAGGTTCACCCCGACGCCGAAGAAGGCGCATGTTACAAGCGCATAGTTAACTGCATCACCACCAACAGCACAAGAAATCTCGATCAGAATCCAGATCCAGTTAGCTCATAGACAAAAACAGAGTGTCTGTGGCATATGATCGAAGAACAACATCAAATAAAGCAAGGCTTTACCTAGCAGCAGGATGGAAGATTTCCATTTCCCAGTGTTTGCTTTGACTGCTGGGTTTCCTCGCCTGTCCATCGACCCATCTTCAGTGACGGGCGATATGCTCTTCGGATCGACGGTGCTTGGAGCCATCGCCTCGATCATCCGGTGAATTCTCTGAACCTTCTTCACCTTCCGGCTGCTCCATCACAAAATTCAGAAAAGTAAATTACAAAGATAATCCTTGAGATTCCTAACCAATACTACTCCAGTATTCTAGTATTTCAGTATTTTACATACGTCTAACTGGTTGGCTGCGGTGTAGATGCAGCCCTGCTTATCACTACTTACTTTATACGAAATGTTGGCGTGCATATTGCGACATTTTCAGCGTGCAATCATACTGGAAATATGTTATGCCCCACACGATACGCACCTTGTTTGTTTTGTCCGGTCCTGCAGGAAGTTCCGTCGATACTTCTTTGTGTGAGGCTTGAAAAGGCGGCTGGATTAGTTCAACCTGCGAGTACAGCTCATGTCAGGGATGAAACCATGCGTGCACTGCCAAAGTATACTTCCTTTTCTTCTCTTTTTCTTAAGAAAAAGACACCATTTCGACCAGCATGATCAGTTAGCATATAAACAGATCAGACAAAGTGGAGACGGTGGCGCGCTTATCGCCATGCACTGTCTGATCTCCACTCAGAAGCGTGTATACTACTGGTACTTTTTTCTCTTTTTTCTGAAGAAGAAACATATATATCCATCCAAGACTACATTTAGGGCATAAACCTGTAGGGTCCCACGTGTGGTACGTGCATAGGATCCCACCTCTCTTGAGAGCGGTGAGTATAGTTCTCCTATATGCTTTTGCACAGCACAGCAGCGCTCGAATCTAGCTAAACCAGTCCATCGGAGAATGGTGAAATGAAGATCCAAGCATGAGCTGATATCGCCGCATGCATGATGGTACACCGTACATGTACTCGCGGTAACGAGGAGACAACAGCGACCATGCACTGCACACATGTATACTAATAGTACCATATACCTTCGTTGATGAAGCCTCCGGTGCAGGAACGCAGCTCCTTCTCCGGCGACGGGGACGACGAGCGCTTCAGAAAGGAAACGGCCACGGCGCCTAAGACGGGGACGAGCGCCACCTCTAGCCCGGACGACACCTCGACGACGGAACCGGGCAGGCCTCCAGACATTTACAGAGCAAAACCGCACCACGTACGGCGAGATCGCCTGCTTGCTCTCACCGGCGGGCGAGCAGACGGAGACGGGGAAGAAGAAGGGAATGGGTGGTGTGCTTGTGAGGTGAGCCGGGGGCGGGGTGGCCGCGTATTTATGGGCGCGCGCGGCGGCAGTGGTGCGGTGCTCACCGATTGGGCGGAGTCGCGGTGTTGGTGACCAGTACGTTTTGGTTTTCTCCTGCGGGGGGAAGGAAAGGAGCCGGCCGACACATGTGGCAGCGTGCATGGCCCGTGACAGCTGGTTTCTCGACTGCTTTTCCCGGAGATCCTGTGATTGTGAGCCAGCTGCGGCTCCATCGGAACGGCCTTAGCCACACGAAAGTTACGGTGCGGCGCACGTAACTTGCTTGTGGCCGTGAGCGCGCGGAGATTTTACCATATTTGGACCATTATTTTCCGCTTGGCTCCCCTCTCACGACCACGGCGACTCCACGCCTCTCGCCCACCATTGTCGACACCTCTGTAGATCTAGCCACTCAAATCACACGGTATGCCTCCGCGTCGGCGAGGTCCGCGAATGGCGACCACGGCCGCACCCCCCTCCCCCCCTCGCCTGCCCCTCCACATCTCGAATCCTTCCCGGAGATAGTGAGATTGATCTCACCGGTTCCGCAGGGGATACTCATGGCGACCGGGCCCGGGGGTGGGTGGAGCGGGCAACCAGGATTCGCGACGCCACCGTGGCGTGGATCCGACGCGTGCAGGAGTGGAAGGCGGCAGATCAGGCGGTGACGGCGGCGATAGATCCGAGTGTAAGGTCCGCTGCGATGAGATATGCAGAGAGTTGCCAGAAAAGAGCAAATCTGGAGCAGAGGATTTTGGCGAGGGTGATCTACGACGAGGCCACAACGGAGGAAAGGGCAAGGATGCCCGCCTTCCCGCACTCCCCGTCGGCTGCGTTTGTTCTGTGGGCGAGGGCGGAGGCAAAATCAGAGGAATCCCGGAGGGCGCTGCGGTGGGAATGCTTGCTGGGAGTGATGCCGTCGGGTGCACCATTGCAGCTCTCGTTCTCGCCGCCAGAGACCAGTCGTGTTTGAGCCCATCTCCACTGGCGGGGGCTGCCATTTCCTTCCCCGGTGACTTCCCGCCGGTGGCCTTCATTCATTGGCCGAGGGGGTAGTGGCGCTCGAACGACCCGAGAAGGAAGGCGCGTTGGATTTCCATGGTGGGATTGAGCTCAGATTGACCGCCGAAGCCGGAGACAGTGGACCTGTTGCTGTATTTGTCGCCAGAGAGCCGAGTGTATCTGGGATGGGCACAGACAAAGTCTCTGACTATGGAGATCTTCGAATGAACAAGAGAATCATGTTTGATCCTGGGGGTTGCTTATCAAACTCTGAAACTGAAGAGGAGTCTATTTTAAAGGAAACGAAGCCAAGGGGAAGATTTTGGGCACTTGAGCAAATTGAGGATGAAGAGGTTAACTCTGCAATTGAAGACACAGAACATCGAAATCCTTACCTAGCCACTCTGGCAAATGCTTTTGCCTGTGCCAAACAAGTGAAGAAGATTGACAAGAGAAAGGGGAAGATACTGAAATGCAATGGACAGACTGATAAAAAATGTTGCAACAGGGACAGAGCGCTTGAAGATAAAAACAGGCAAGTAAACTTCCCTTCGTGTAGTGGGAATAATAGGAGACCATCTGCAAGATGTGGTTTGATCCAGGATGATCAACGGTATCAAATTTTCAGAGGAAGGAGAGTGGATTTAGGCAATGGAGCTGAACCCAATTGGATGCATTGGAGGTGTGTAGAGAGATTTGGGAATTCATTAGCACACAAACCGATAGATGCCCCTCTCTCAGTATGATCTCCAGCACGTTGTGAGGGTGAAACAGGGGATGATTGCGAATTTTCGGGAGATTGTTTTATCTCAATTCGAACTCTGAAACGGACTGGGCTTAATAAAGAAACGGGCCAAATTAAAGGAGTTTATGGGCTGGAGGGGGGGAAAGTAGGCCAAAAAAGTGGGGAAAACTTTAGGCCTGCAGGAAAAGGGGGTTATATACGCCCAACCTAGGTCCTGGGTGTTGAGACGACCCAATTCCTACAGTCTAGGGTTTCCCACTTATGGTGCTCGCTCCCCTCCGCCGCCGCAAATACCAGCTGCCCTCGATTCCCGAAGATGGTTGATTGTTTCGATCCAGGAAGAGGTGGCGATGGAAGAGGTAATGAGAGAGGAAATAATTGGAGGCTGTGATGAATTATGGAAGGGATGCACAATTTGATAGGCAAGATCAGGGCTACCATGTCCACCCTCGACCCCCCTTCAGAAATTTCCAAGGTGATCAATTTCAGAACCACTTTGGTAGAGAGAACTTTGGCAACTGGAATCGTGAGGGTGGTGGCCGTGACATGCGTCGGTTTTAGTATAAATCAACATCTCGGACCAATGTGCCTCCTACCGCTAGCAGTTACCAGCAGAAGTCTAGCACTGCAACAAAAAGTGGGGGAGGGGTGACAGTGATATTCAGGCATCCAAAGCAATCTCTGTAGGAGGAGTTCTGAATGGTAATCAAGGCGCTGCGGGAGGGGGGGTGGAAAACAAACAACAGGCAACTGACAAGATCGTCTGTCACAAATGTGGTGAGAAGGGTCATAACTCCAAGGGGTGTGAAGCTAAAGTCAAATGTTCCATCTGTACTAAAGACACACACATAGCTGAATTATGTGCATGGTTGCATCAGAAAAAACCAGTGGCATCTTTGATGGGTTTTGGAGGAGAAGGACTAGGCATTTTTGTGGCAGATCATGCAAAGGAGTTACCTGGGAATAATAAAAATAATGCAGTAGCTTTGGTCAGGCTCAGAGATGGCTGTGATTTGGAAATTGATTCAGATGATCTTATCAAAAGCTTGGCAAAAACTTACCCCTGGAGGTGGGATTGGAAAGCAAAGAAAGTGTCTGATGGAGTTTTCCTGGTAAATTTCCCATCTGTTGCAAGGATCAATGAGGCTGCCATTTATGACTGGGTCCCTCTGAAAGGTGGAAACATAATGGTCAAAGTGAAAGTATGGAATGATAATATTATGGCTATTGGTAAACTAGCATTGATATGGGTCAGAGCTAAGGGGGTACCAAAAACAATGAAAAATTATCAGGGGCTTTGTGAGATTGGATCAATGATTGGATATGTACAAACTGTTGACATGGATCTGGTAAACAAAAGTGGTCTTGTCAGGCTGAAGATTGTTGTGGTGGATCACACCAAAATCCCCAGATGGAATAAGCTGACAACTCCAAATCTCATGGTTTACAGAATTTTCTTTGAGGTGGAAGAGGTTTTAGATGAAGTATGGACCAAACTAGAAGATGAAGTATCACAAGGATATGAGGAGTGGATGGATTTCCAACATGAGGAGGATGAAAATAGAGAGGCAAAGAAAGCAAAAAAAAGATGCAAATGTGGCAATCTGTGCAAGTACTAGAACCAGGATGGCACTAGAAGACAGAGAGGCTGCTATTAAAGAGCAAGAGGCTGCTGATAAGCTACCATACAATAGGAATCTGGATATTGAGAAACTCAATAAAACTAATGAAGATATAGGCTCTACATCAGTTAATGAAGAGGGAGAGAAAGGAGGAGGATGAGATGCAAAAGGATGATTCAGAAGAGAAAGCTAATGAGGGAAAACCTTCTCGGTCTGTGAGTCTTGGCACAAAACTTGGGATTGATGCTGTTGAAGGGGCACAAATGGAAAACATCAAAGGAGGTGAAACCCAAGAGCTTCCAAGATACAGTGGGAGGATTTCCTTGAAGAACAGAGATGACATTCCTATACTAGACAGAGCTATGACTTTGTCCAGAGCCAAAAATCTAGCTCTATCTGAAGGTATGTCTGAAACTGCTATTACTTCTTATCTTGAAAATGTTGAGTTGATTGATGTGGCTAATTTGATAGGA